AGGTGCTGGGATTACAGGTAGGCATCACCATGCTCAGCTCTAAAATGGTTAACATTTTAAATTCGTATTTTAAAGTTAAAAATAAATAAATAAACTGGGTGTGGTGGCACATTGGCTGCAAAGCTGGTATTGAGTGAGGCAGCAGGATCACAAATTGGAGTTCAGCCTGGGTAACCTAGTGAGACCCTGTCTTAAAATAAAGGGAAAAAGCAAGGCTGAGGACATAGCTCAATGAGAAGGCCCTGGGTTCAAGTGCCAGTAGCATCATTAAAAAAAGAAAAGCCATTGTGAAAATTAAGAAGAAATTCTATCTGCACATGTATTATTGTTATTTTATCCAATTTAGGGAGGTGTAGTGTCTGCTTTGAAATGCAAACATATTTGTGAAAATTTAACTACTTATTTTTTAGCTTTTAAAAATATTCCTTTACCCAGGTATTATGGTACATGCCTATAACCTCAGAACTCTGGGAGGCGCAGGCAGAAGGATCCCAAATTTGAGTCTGGCCTGTACGACTTGGTGAGACCTTGTCTCAAAATAAAAAAGGGCTGGGAATGCAGCTCAGTGTAAAGCCTGAGTTCAACCCCCAGTACAATGCTGTCTCCCCCAAAAAATCCTTTAAAAATTGTGTGTGTTTTGGGCCAGGGATTTAGCTCAGTGGTTCTGGAGTCTACATCATAAGCCCAAGAGCCCAAGTTCAAACCTCAGTATCAAGAAAAAAAGTCTGTTTTACTGGAACCTACAACTAGCAAATACTCCATAATATATGTGTCTCTATATAGTAAAGTTATAATAATGTAAGTTCAAATAGTTCTAAGTAAGGTGGGGTAGGGGGTGCATGCCTATAATCCCAGCACTTGGGAGGCTAAGGCAGTAAGATTATAAATTCTTGTCCTGCCAGGGCAATTTAAGAGATCCTGTTTCAGCCAGGTGTGCTGGCACATGCCTGTAATCCCAGCACTCAGGAGACTGAGGCAGGAGGATAGCTGTGAGTTCGAGACCAGCCTGGGCTACATAGTGAGTTCCAGATCAGTCTCAACTACATAGTGAGACCCTGTCTCAAAAAAACAAACAAACAAAAAAAGAGATCCTGTTTCAAAATAAAAAGAGCTAGGGATGTAGTTCAGCACAAAAGCTCTGGGTTCAATCCCCAGTACTATTACCTGTACCAAGAAAAGTTATAGTATCAGGTGTTTTATCCCCAGTACTATTACAAGTTCCAAGATAAGTTACAGTATCAGGTGTTTTAAGACCAGACAGAGATTTTGATGTAGATACCAATTCTGGAAAATCAGAGTTCTGATATCTCTAGAAAAGTCATCATTTTAGGAGTCAGTATTTCAGATGAGCTTTGGAAGACAGGACCTTTATGAAGAGATACGAAACTTAATGGGGAGGGAATTCAAGCAGAGGGAAGAGCATTTACTAGAGTACTTGGTTTTCTTGGGAAACTGAAGTACAAGTAGGGAAACTCTGGGAAACTGGAATGGTAAAGCAATACTGCCACAACGGAAGGTCTCAGTCCATCCTGACTAAGCTACTATATTGAACAGAAGTGACAAAATCAGAAATGTATATTTGGAAGGTATGTCATGAAAAAAAAAAAAAACCTAGAGAATGAGGTTCTTGAAGAGCATCTCAATGCTACATCTTTGATGTGACTTTTACTTTCCCAGTAACCTACATGATACCACTCTGTCAAAGGAAGTAGGAATCTATGCTTTTTTCATTTTTTTTGTTTTACTATTACTTCATTATTTTACAATTCAGAAGCACAAATGAGAATCTACTCCAGAAAATATAATTGACTTAAAATTGAGCCAGGTGTGGTGGTGCACTTATAATCCCAGCACTCAGGAGGCTTGGGCAGGAGGATCACCGAGTTTGAGAACAGCCTGGGCTACATAGTGAGTTTAAGGCCAGCCTGAACTACATAGCAAGACCCTGTCTCACACACACACAAAAAAATTGATGTGTATCTCAGGTAATTTATTTAGCTTCTCTGGGTCTCATCTTCTTCATCTGTACAATATTGAGAATACTACCTACTGAGTTCATATCAAAAATGTGCGTATGGGCCAGGGATTTAGCTCAGTGGTTCCACCACCTGCCTCCCAAGTGTAAGGCCCCTTAATACATAGTAGCTGACATTGTGTTTAATATCATTAGTTCTCCAGAAATGAACTTTCCTCTGGTAAGGCGGTACTATCAGATCTCTTTCAACTCAAAGAATCATATCTAAGTGCTGCGTTACATTCAGATGTCAGAGATCACTGTGAGTTACCAAATGGGAGCAAGCTTCATAGAAGAGCTAAAGCCAAAGCTAGGTTCTTCAAGCTGGGTAGAGATGTGTGAAGAAAGAAGTTACTCTAGGGAGGAAACAGAGAACTACCAAAGGCTAGGAAATGGAACATATATAAGAAATGTTCCTGCCAGGCATGGTGACACACACCTGTAATTCCAGCACTTGGGAGGTTACTAAATCACAAAGATCACTGTGAGTTCAAGACCAGTCTAGGCTACATATTGAGTTCAAAGCCACCCTGAACTACATAGCAAGACCTTGTTTCAAAAAACAAAACAAAGTGCCTAGATCTGTGTTTTGAATAAGAGTGAAAAATAAGATAGGAACTAAGATTTTTTTTTTAAATGAACTAAAAAACTAGATAAACTGCATTACTTTACCACTTGAATTGCTGAAAGAGAACTGAGTTTTAGTAGACAGTTGATTAGCATCACCTCTGCCAACTAATCTGCTCTAAGAATTACCTTACACACTAATTAGTTCTATAATGAGAATCTGTATAAAAAATAATTCATATTTTGCTAAAACCAAATGTAACTATCTCCTGGGTTATAGTTACTTTATAGCAACCCCTTCTTTCTCTTTTAATGAAACTAAGGACTAATTCTAACTATCCTCATGATAGAGCACAAATCTGAAGAACTTCACTGCTCTGTGAATTATGCTACATTATTACAATGTTAGTTAAACCTTATCACCCTTCTGCTCCATGGTTCCCATCTTACGCAAAATAAAACTGAAATCTTTATAATGGTCTAAAAGGCTGTTTGTTTTGCCCATCCTTTCCTCGTTTTTTCTTGACCTTATCTCCTACTACTCCCTTCTTTGCCTAGGCTCCAAGCACATCCTCTCACTGTCCTCTAACAGGCTAGCCTTGTTCTCTTCAAGGCCCTTTATGCTTGCTGTTTCTTGCTCCAGATACTTCTACAACTCCCTCACCTCCTTCTAGTCCGCTTAAATATCAGCTTGTCATAAATTTCTCTGACCACTCTACTAAATTTTCCAACACCCACACCCATTCCTCCTTTCCTAAGCCACCGTTTTTCCTAAGGTACCGTCTTCTAACATACCCCATAATACAACTTTGTCTCTCTTCCCACTACTAGTTGCAGACTAGTAACTGATGCCTTTGGGGAGGGGGCTAGAAAATGGGTAAAGCAGGTATCAACAAAAGTAATCCTTTAATAAATTAATTAATTATTAAGCTATCCCTCTGGGTACAGGAAAACACACTTTTATTTTCACTGCTGAAAAATCTAAACATTTTTTTTGCACTAAACATTTACTGTTCACGTCTTACCTGCCAGACCTGGGCTGAGCTCTAAAAACTTTCAATTAAGAAAGTCCCTACCCTTTAGGAGCTCCTGCGCATGAATTCAGGGAAAATAGATATAGAAACATTACTTACAAAAAACACCACAGAAAGAAGCCACAGGAAACTAAATGACAGCCTAAAAGAGCAGGGGCCAAGAGGGAAATGCTCACTAAAGCGATGAGACTATAGAATCCCCCGAACTGACTAGTGTGATAATTTTTCCCTATGTTTTTGGTGTGTTTGCAATCCACGTAAATTATTTACTCACATGAGCTCTCAAGTAGGCCGCAAAAGTTTGTCTCTGGTAACGCTAATCACAAAGACCACCAACTGAATTTTCTAATTTTCTGACCTGTCAACTTTTGCTACCAGGAATTCCTATTCGGAAGCTTGCATCTCCCAACTGCTGCCCACTTGGGTCAGAAGACTCCCCACAACTACCCCTGCCTTGTAGCCCCGCACTCTGCAAATCCCTTTCCTAGCCCTACAGGCGCCGCCTCCGAGAAGCCGCCAACTGGGCCTTGATGAGAACTGGGAGAGGCGGGAGCCGTGGGAGGGCGACGCCGCTCAGGAGGCTCTCTCAGGGAGTCCGCCGCACTCCTATCTCTCCCGGGCCCCCGGCCCCCGGGCCCGGAGACTCCTCCGACTCTTTGTTAAAAGGCTGCTGTTCCTCGGCCCTCGCTAGGCCCCACTTGCCTGTACTGGCCCCAAGGGCTAGCAGTCCCGCCTCCAGATCCCTCTCACAGACCTGCTGCTATGGTTGCAGCGGCAGCCGCTACCACCGCTGGCGCGGAGAGAATCCCACCGCCAGAAGTACGCGCGCGGTCCAGACCCCGTCCCGCCGCGCTCCTCCCTCTCCGCCCCCTTAGCTGCTGCTGCCGCCGTCGCTCGGCCCGTTGCTGACGGAGGGAGGGGAACGCACACCTGACATGCGCACTGAGGAGAGTGCGGGCCGAAGGGCGGGGTCTGGGGAGGCTACGACTCCCGGAAGGTGCAGCTAGCTGCTTCCCTTAAAACTCCGGAATCCTTCACAGGTTCCTCAGGGACCGGCAGGAAGCTGCGGCTGGGTGAAAAGTGTACATGGCCCACTAGAAAGCGGAACTGGCAATAGAAAAAGTGGCAGTGACAGGGAGCCGCCCAAAACTCCCAAGAGAGTAAAGACTGGCGGGAAATTTCATTTACATAAAAATGTCAATCCCCTTATCTCTGATTCCTTGGGCCACATTTCTCCGTTTGCCTCGGACCACATGGTCTCAAAGAATATGGCCACCTTTAGCTTCCGGGTCAAATTTACTGTGACGTCAGCTTGGTTGAACCCCAGTGAAGAAGTCTCATTAGCTAGGACACATCTAGCCCAGGGTCGGGGATTATGTAATTTTCCCAGCATCCCCACCTCACCTCTACAGAACCTGGGAGGAAGAGGTCTCGCGCTGTCCCCGAGGCTGCGTCTTGCGCCCCTCGTCGTGCGCAGGCGCGGACGAGTCGTACGCATTCTACGTAACTGACGGTGACGGCTCGTTGGGGAGTGGATAGCGGGCTTGAGCTACCTACGCGGTCAGGGTGCTGCAGGAGGAACTGCACGTAAGACCGCCTCGAAGGTGAAAGCAGCGGACAGGCTGAGAGGCAGGCGGGTTGGAAGTATCCACTATAGGAGCGCCGGGCCGGATTTTGACCTCGGGTGCAGGTTAGTCGTGGGCCAGGAGGATACGTTAATCGGTGGAGCAGCTCCAGGCCGAGTGGTGATTGAGTGGCTTGGCCTGTAACTCGGTCTCGTTTTTCACCCGACCAATTTTTAAGTTTGGCCGGTAATGACATTCATCGATCCCTGCGACTTCCCATCTCTCCTGACTTTAGAAACATTTTTAAAATCTCTGTCCACCCTTTACCCATTTACGGTTGGTCTTTCGGGATGTGGGGTACTTTTAGTGTTTTGGAGGATCTCTGCAGAGCTGTGAGAAAATGCCAGCCGGAAAGACAAAGAGGCAATTTCCCGTGTGCAGCAGGAAAAATGGAATTTAGACTTTAGGATGAATGGATTCCCCATGGTGGAGAGAGACTAGACAAGGGTGGCTTGACAGAAACCACTATTTCTGCGGTCAACCTTCTCTGAAGGTTTCTGTCATAAGACATGTTTTTAACTCACATATTTAAGGAAACAGAGATATCTATCTACCTGATTACTAGAAATCTCATGTTTTGATTAATGTGTAAAAGCCTAATGAGAACTGACGACAAAGAATGTTTCACCTCTCTTTCAAGTCCGGGGTCAGTTGTTGAGAGACTACACAGTGAGTTTGCAAAAAAAAAAAAAAGTTAAAGGTCAAACCAGTCTTAGTGCTTCTGCCCTGTCTCGGTTCAGTTTCACCGACTTCAGGAGCCGTAGAGGCTGAGTGACCTGGCAAGGAGTCGTACCTGTGAGAAGTGAGTATGAAATGCATTAGAGACTTAGGGAAAAGAAAGCCAGTGCACAAAGTACTTGGATAATTTTAACCTAAATAACCTTGAAAAAGCTTATTAAAAAAAAAAGCTTAAGAGTTATAATAGAAATATTTCTGTGGTATGAACATTCCAAAGAGAAATTCCAAACCTTTTGGTACTCTGTTAACTAGATTGGCTGTGTAGGGTAAACATTTGGTTGCTTCTGCTTGAAAAAGTTTTAAGTCTGGGTTGTGAGAGGGAAGCACTGAACTAGAAACTTTCAACTCTTAAAGATGTTCATAAGGTATAGCAGAAGAAAGGGAATTAACATTTATTGAGTATCTTCCTTGTGGATATTGCAGGAGACAGGAAATATGTGCCCACCTTTTAGTTTTTAAGATTTGTTTCAAGATTTTTTAGGGCTTGGTTCTTATTTCTCTCTCTGACCTAGTTCTTAATATTTTCTGGATGATCTTGTCTATGCCTACACCATTTCTCTTTCCCCCTCAAGCCTGATTCCTAAACATTTTGTATTTCAAGCTTTTTTGGGGGTGATGTTTTGAGACAGGGTCTCCCTTTGTAGTTTAGGCTGGCCCTGAACTCACTCTCTAGCCCAGGCTGGCCTTGAACCCATAGCAATCCTCCTGCCTCAGCCTCCCAAGTGTTGGAATTTCAGGTGTGTGCTATCACACCTGGCACAATTCTTTTTTTTTTTTTTTTGGTACTGGGCATCGAACTCAGGTCCTAGTGCTTGTGAGGCAGGTGGCATAACCACTGAGCTAAATCCCCAGCCTCTGGCATAATTCTTAAAATCTGTCTAATCAGTTTTCCACCACTACCAGTTACATTATTTTATCAGTTATCGTAGACACTTCCTATTTTTTCTGCAAGTACTTTTGGATTTATTCTATGTATAAATTGTTAAGATTAAATTGCCAATCTAATAGTGTCATTTTTCTGCTTAAAATATTTTAGTTATCAAGTTATGTAAACTTCATATGGTGTTTAAATAAAAAGTATCATGATCTTGCCGCTGTTGGCCTTTCTAGCTTCTTTTCCCCAACTTTGGTTTACAAACGTAGTGTTGTAGCAAATTGAAATATGCTTGAAATACGCTATTTCAGGCCTCTTTGATGTACTATTCTTTGGTCTTCAGAGCCTCTTCTCCAGTGCAGGAACTATGCTTTTAAATTATAAAAGCACGTTATAGGGAAATTAGAAAAAATACAAAAAAGAATGAAGGCAAAATACCCATAATCCTGCTGAACACACTACCTTGCAGTGCTGCCTTGGTTTATGAACTGAGTTATCTCCATGATTTTGGTTGCAAACTGAGAACCAAATCAAATTTCCCTATAAGGTCAATATCAAGTCTAACCATTGAATTTGATTCATTTCTTGTCCAACTTGGTTTGTGACCAGAATCAGGAAAAGAATCAAGTTTGTGTATTTATATATAGATGTATGTGCTTCTAAACCTTTTTCTTAATGTACGTTTGCTTGTAAAACAACATGAACCTGGTGGGCATAGTGGCACATACCTGTGATCCTAGCAGTCTGGAAGCTTGAGGCAGAGAAATCACAAGTTCAAGCCCAGAGTGATAACTTAAGGATTTAGTGAGACCCTGTCTCAAAATAAAAAATACAAAGCTACCAAATAATTTCACATTTTTCACTAATATAAGTAATACTGTAACATGTAATCTTTAAGCTAAAATCCTGTGCACATTTATGTCAGGAATCATGTTTTATTCTTTTTGCTATAGTATCTACTACCATGGTGATATGCTTAATGAAGGCAGAGTTGATATAATAAGATCATTTTATAAAAAGTAAAAGTCATAGTTCTTATATTACTTTTTAGGAATTGGTTAGTCTTTGATGATTATTAAATCCTTAAGTAACAAAAGTTATATTTTTAAGATGGTGGTAGATTTGGGAGGCTGTTTGAGACAGGGTCTCCCTATGTAGTTCCGGCTGGCCTTCAATTCACTATGTACACTATGTAGCCCACACTGGCCTCGAACTTTCAGTGATTCTACTGCCTATGTCTTCTGAGAGTGCTGGGATTACAGGCATGCACTACACTTGGTGGGCTTATAGATTTTTATTTTTTAACTGTTTGCAAAATCCGATCATCGTATATGTAGGATGGCAGTTCACCTTAGGACTCTCTTTCTCATTTTTAAGCTTATTTTTAAGGTGAGATGAAAGCCTTCTGTGCTTTCTGTATTGTCCTTTTGGTGTTTGGAAGTGTCTCTGAAGCCAAGTTTGATGACTTTGAAGATGAGGATGACATAGTAGAATATGATGATAATGACTTTGCTGAATTTGAGGATGTCGTGGAAGATTCTGTTACTGAATCTCCTCAGCGGTTGATAACCACTGAAGATGATGAAGATGAGACCACTGTGGAATTGGAAGGGCAGGATGAAAACCAAGAAGGAGATTTTGAAGATGCAGATACACAGGTGGGGGCTCTTTTTCATTGATTTCCTGGGAAATTCAAAGCATGGAAAAATTTGTAGCTATCATTTTCCCCAGACCCATGCCTAAGGAAACTTTACTCTCTGGAATCTTCATTTTTCCTCAATAGGTAAAGCTCTTCTAAATGTTTTACTGTATTTCTCCAACTTTGATGATACTTTGAAGTATGATACTTTATTTATACTGATACTTTAATGTACTTTGATAAAGTAAGTTATATTTTTCTTTTGGATTGAAGCCCTTGCTAAGGGAGGGACTGAAAAATAATTACTGTGTGGGAGTGAGAATTGTAATTTAGAACTTTGGATTGAGCAGTATGAGAAATCATCACTTTTGTGTTTTTTGGTTTGTAGAGTACAAGTAACAAGTGAACATTGTATGTTTTTAAGTTGTACAGTATGGTCATATCTTTTTTTTATTCATTAATTTTATTGGTACATTTCAGGTAGACAGTATGCTGACATTCATTATTGGAAATACGGTGTCTTGATATGTGTGTATGTATGAAATGATTAACATTCATCACATCGCAGTTTCCTATTTGTATATGTGTAGTGGGAAAACTGAAGATCTAATTTATTAGCAAGTATTAAATACACAGAACTTTAACTATCACCATGTTATACTGTACATAAGATCTCTAGAATTTATTTTAAATGAAAATTTGGATTCTTTGATATTTTGTTAAACTCACATAATAATCTCTGTGTTTTCTGTGTTTGCTGCTTGTAAGTTCTGTTTTCCTCTACAAATGTTGCCCACAAAATGAGACACAATTGCTGATAACATTTATAGAGGAAATCAGATTCTGCCTCATTTTTGTAGGAGGGGGATACTGAGAGTGAGCCATATGATGATGAAGAATTTGAAGGTTATGAAGACAAACCAGATACTTCATCTAGCAAAAATAAGGACCCAATAACAATTGTTGATGTAGGTATTTAGGATTCTGAATTCCAAACTAACCAATAAAGTATCTTGTCATTCTCAGAAATATAATTGGTGACATCTGAGGTTGGTGTTGATGTAATACCCAATGGGAACTGGGGAAGAGTTCTTCTAATACATATGCATACCTAGAAAAGCAACTTCCATGTTTTATTCTAGTTGGTCTAGTTTTACTTATTAAGAAATAAAGAGCCGGGTATGGTGGCCCATGCCTGTAATCCCAGCACTTGGGAGGCTGAGGCAGAGGATCGCTGTGAGTTCGAGACCAGCCTGGGCTACATAGTGAGTTCCAGGTCAGTCTCAACTACATAGTGAGACCCTGTCTCAAAAAACAAAAAAACAAAAAAAGAAAAAGAAAATTGGGCTCAGTGGCACCACACCTGCCTGGCAAGCACAAGATCCTGAGTTCAATACCTGGTACCCAAAAAAAAGAAGTGGATATACATTGGATATAGTTTGGGGTGGGACTCAGAACCCAGTGAAATACAAAGAGTCTGCCAAACCATTTCATCCCATTTGACAGTCTTTATATTTTCTTAAAGAATCTTTTATAGTACTCACCTAGGAAACCAAAATGAGCATATTTATCAAAGTAAAATCATATCCATTGACAGTTACACTTCTGTCTATATGGGTTTCTCATTTTTCGTCTTAATTGTTCAGCCTTGCCAACATTAAATGGAATAATTTCACCTTTTTAGGTTCCTGCACACCTCCAGAACAGTTGGGAGAGTTATTACCTAGAAATTTTGATGGTGACTGGTCTGCTTGCCTATATCATGAACTATATCATTGGGAAGAATAAAAATAGTCGCCTTGCTCAGGCCTGGTTTAACACTCATAGAGAGCTTTTGGAGAACAACTTTACCTTAGTAGGTAAGTTAAAACCAATATGAGATGAGCTGCCTGCTTGAAAGCAATCTGGTAAGAACAGTTTATTTCCCTCTTCGTAGACTTTAGCTACTTTCGTGGACTGCAGAAAAGCATGCTTTTTTCTCTCCAAGGATCCCATTTTTATTAGGTTTTATATACTGAGTAAATCTATGTAATAATGTCTTCATCTTTCATTTATCATCAGTATATTTGCTACAAAGCTTTTGATAAAATTAGTGTTGCCTGGCATGGTGGTGTATACCTGAAATACCAGTACTTGGAAGGCTGAGGCAGTAAGATTGCTGTGAATTTGAGCCCAGCCTATGAATTTGTACTATGAACTACATAGTAAGGCCCTGTCTCAATAAATGAAAATAAAAATCAGCGTTAGCCAAACAAATGGATTAAGTTCTGGTTGAAATGAAAAAATGTTGACATTTTTGTTTGTTTTGGTTTGTTTTTGTTTTTTGTTTGTTTGTTTTGGTTTTTTTGAGACAGGGTCTCACTATGTAGTTGAGACTGACCTGGAACTCACTATGTAGTCCAGGCTGGTCTCAATTCACAGTGATCCTCCTGTCTCAGCCTCCCGAGTGCTGGGATTACTTACAGGTGTGCGCTACCACACCCGGTCTTGACATTTTTGTTAGCTTGATGAATGTTTTCTTTTAATTTACTTTATAGAAATTGAAACTTCTTTGCAATTCCCTCAAGTTCTGAGCTTTTTAGTTTTGGATCCACTGATGAGGTATATACTGAAGTATTTAGAGGAACATCTGTGGCTACTAGTGTACGGAATGAGGGAGACTTTCTTCATATTTATCTCTATTTGGCATTTAGCACTTTATTTCTCTGTAACATGTGCTCTGCTTTTTAGCAGACTTTATATATTGTGCTACGTATTTTGCATCTATTGGTTTTTTTTGTTGTTGTTGTTGGTACCAGGGATCGAACTTGGTCCCGTGTGCTTGCAAGGCAGGTGGTGGAACCACTGAGCCAAACCCCAGCCCTTTGCATCTGTTTATATTTATTCTTTGTAACAATAATGTCAGTTGTTGGATTTACTTTTCTATTTTCTTAATGTTAGATGTGGGAACTGAAGAATACAGATGTTAAGACTTGTCTAAGAACCAGGGATTTAGCTCAGTGGTTCCACGGCCTGCCTTGCAAGTACAAGGACCCGAGTTGGATCTCCGATCCAAAAAAAAAGCCTTGTCTAAACTGTTAAATTACAACCATGATATTATAGCCTATCTACCTGTTTCCAAAGTCTGTGCTCTAATACTCTCTTCTGTACAATATAATACACAATTATTTTTTTCCAGGAAATTAGAAAAGAAAAATAAGCCTTTGACTTTTTGCTTTCTCCTTTTTCCTTGCTCATTTCTTCATGGTACCAGGGTTTTTGTTTATTTGTTTGTTTTGGGGTTTTTTTGGATTTTTGAGAGAAGGCCTTGCTATGTAGTTCAGGCTGGCCAGAACTTACTATGTAGCACTAGCTGGCCTCAAACTTGTGCTCAGCCTCCTGAGAGCTAGGATTATAGGTACATGCTACTATGCCTGGTCCATAATTTTTTTTCTTAGTTTTTGTTCGGCTGGATTTTTTTTTTTTTTTTGTACTGAGCTAAATCCCTGACCTTTTGGCCTTTTTAATTTTATTTTTTGTGATAACCTGGGATTGAACCCCAGGAATTGCTGAGCTACACCCCTATCCCTTTTTACATTTTTTAAATTTTAAGACAAGGTTTGCCAAATTGCCTGTACTGGCCTTGAACTTGAAATCTTCTGCCCCATCCTCCCAAGTAGCTGGTATTATAAGTGTTCACTGTACCTGGTTTACTTTTTTTTTTTTTTTTCTTTTTTTTTTTTTTTTCTTTTTCTTTTTCTTTTTCTGATACTGGGGATTGAACTCAGGACCTTGTGCTTGCCAGGCAGGCATGGCCCCACTGAGCTGCATCCCAGGCCTTTTAAAATTATTATTTCCATAAAAAATTAGGAACTTAAGAGGTCATGAATATGATCAAAATACCTTATATACATTGAAACTCCCCTCAAAACGTGATACTATGGGGAGTGAGGAGAGTGATGGGGGAAAAGAATATATTTTGTGCAGGCACATGTCTGCCAAAATAAAATTCATTAATCTGTATAATCATTATGCACTAATATAAATAATACATTGAAGACCAGTTCCTCCCCACCCTCTGGCTCCAATGTTGCTGTCTTCCACACACCTGCCATTGGCCATGAATAATGGGGCTGTCTGATCAGGGGCTTTCTGCTTCCAAAACTGAGCTAAATAAATCTCTTTCCTTTAAAAATTTAAAAAAAAAAGTGTATACTTTGAGCCAGGCAAGGTGGCACATGCCTTGTAATACCCTCTACTGGGAAGGCTAAGGCAAAGAGGATTTCGCAAGACCTTGTCTTAAAATAAATTTTAAGGGCCAAGGATAAAGCTCAGTCGTGCCACACCTGTTTGGCAAGCACAAGTGGTCCTGAGTTTGATCCCCAGTACTGGAAAAAATAAATTAAGTTTTAAAAGGACTGGGGTTGTAGCTCCGTGGTAGAGCACTTGCCTTGCCTGTGGGAAACTCTGGGTTCCATCATCAGCACAGCAAACTTTTTTTAAAAAAGTGAAAGGGAAGCTCTACTCCCTCCTTCCTACTTGACAGTCTTTGGTACCATAGCACACATGGCCCCACTGAAGGAGGAGCCTGCCCTAAACTTGGCACCTGCTGCATGCTGATAGTTGAGGATAAATGTCATCTGCTCTGCTGTGCTCTCTCTGCTGGGGATTTAGCTCAGTGGCATAGTGCCTGTCTGGCAAGCGCAAGGTCCTGAGTTTGATCCCTGGTACCAAAAAAAAAAAAAAAAAAAAAATCACAGAAAAACATGAATAGGTAACAATAGAGAGAAGGGTATTGGCACAGTGAAAATTTTGTGCAGGAAACTTTAGATATTAAAACTTCCTGGAGTTAGTAGGAAATTGAAACAATAAGATGTATTTGATATTCTGGAAAATGAGAAAGCTGTTAATGAATTCTTTTCTCTATTAGTAGAAGTAACTGAAATTAATGAAGCACTGACAGAATATTTAGGACTTGTCCATAAATCCTATTATGAGTATGATTGGTTGATCAAGATAACATTGAGTGACCCTTCAGAACTAGGTGAACTGATGAGTGAAGAAGCATATAGAAATACACCAGATTTATTGAGGAGTGAAGATAGAACCCCTTAATAAAGTAATACTAATAATCATAGTAAAGAAGTAAAAGAAACAGGGCTGGGGATTTAGCTCAGTGGTTCCACTGCCTGCCTCACAAGCTCAAGGTCTCAAGTCGATCCCCAGTACTAAAAAAAAAAAAAAATTAAAGAAATAGTGCCAAACTATTAATCCCTATCCAAAGGATATTCTGTACATAGCAAAGTATTGCTGCTTTGGTTCTGTGATGAGGATGGAGGACGGTGTGGTGATTAAGCCCCAGAATTTTGAGTGAATCAATTTTACCTCTAGGGGATGATGGAACTAACAAAGAAGCCACAAGCACAGGAAAATTGAACCAGGAGAATGAGCACATCTATAACCTATGGTGTTCTGGTCGAGTGTGCTGTGAGGGCATGCTTATCCAGCTTAGAGTAAGTAGGAAACATCTGATCGAATGAATTTTTTTCTATGTGTGAGTTCTAATCCTCTAAATTTAGTGTCTCATCCTTTCATGTTTGATTTTAAATGAATTCTAAATGCTGTATTCTAATTGGCAAATGTGTTGTAGATGATTTTGATAAAGGATGTGACTCCCTGTCCAAGGCTTTATAGTAAGTAGAAATTGGAACTGTGTTTATTTCTCATTTTTTTAGTTCCTGAAGAGACAAGATTTACTGAATGTCCTGGCTCGGATGATGAGGCCAGTGAGCGATCAAGTGGTATGTGATCTTTTTGCTGAATCTTTGTGTATACACTGAATACATTTCTGTCTGAATTTTGTTTGGAGTTTCTGGCAACTTATATACCTCATCAAGAATTGATCCTTTATATATAGAAAGATAATTTTTCACTCAGTGTTCAATTATCAGGAGGCCTTTGTGTGCTTTTTGGAGGGAAAAAAATAATACTCTGTCACTACATAAATCAACTGAATTAGCCTTGATAGAGAAAAGAACAGTTGTCACAGATAGTTTGCCCTGTGTCCAATTCTGCTCCTGTGTATATTTTTATCTTTGGCTAAAAGGTGAGTTTTTTTCCCCAATATTTTTTGCTTCAAATAAATAATTTTAGTTTCTTGAAAGAGCTCCTTTATTGCTGAGTACACCTTTTCTCTTTAAATCAACACTTTAATCTGTAAGTTGTACCCTTCAGCAGAAATGCCTTGATCATTCCTCCTCCTTTGTCCTTTTTGGTTCTTTTCCCTTCTCTAGTATTGAGGTCTTCCCACTGAGCCACATCCCTACCCTTTGTTATTTATTTTTTAAATTTTGGGGCAGAATCTGGCCTTACCACTAAGTTGCCCAGGCTGGCATGCCCAGCTCCTTCATTCCTTCAGTAAATAACTGTTGATTCCTTCTGCTACAAGAAACAAAGTATATGGGAGAGTTTCTTTTTTATTTAAACTAGTAGAATTTGAGATGTGAGTGTATGTCAATGTGCAAAATAGTATTTGATTACTAATTACTGCATTGATAGTATAAAGCAAATACTTTAAGGCATTTTGGCTTGAAGCTCATTTTAAAGATTTTGGTTTTAGTTGTAAATCTCTCTTTTTCAGGGGAAGACTGTTTTGCATGTTGTTCAGGCTGGCCTTGAACTCGGGCAGTCCTCCTGCCCCATATCTCAGGAGTGCTGTGATAACAGGAGTGTACCACTATGCCTGGCCAGTTGGAAGTCTTTAATTTTTTTTTAATATGGCCACTGATGACTTAATCCTTTAAATTTTAGAACCCCATCAGTTAATATGGAAGACTGGCCCCTATATTTCTCCCACCAAACCATCCTATTAGGCAAAAAGGAAGGGCAGACTAGGTGTGGTGGCACACCTGCAATCTGGAAGACTGAGACAGGAGGATTGCGAGTCTGAGAGCCCTGTGACTTTGTTAAGACACTGGTTTAAAATGAAAAAGGGGTTGGTGACGCAACTGTGTGCGGAGGCTCTGGGCTCAATCCTCATCGTGACAAGGGGGAGGAGGCAGTTGCTGTATCCTTATCCGTATATTTTTAGGAATTATTTTTTAGTAGGTAGTAGCTAGGCATGATGGCACATGCCTATAATCACAGCACTTGGGAATCTGAGACAAGAGACTTACAAATTTGAGGCCAGCCTGGCTTATGTAGCAAGACTCTTTATCTCCAAAAGAAGAGAAAGTTTTCTTTAGTGTTTTAATGATTTTCCATTCTCTTCTGGAGTAGATCTAATCTTTTCCACTGGGCCTCAGAAGTAAAATAGCTTCAATATATATACAGGGGTTTTTTTTTGTTTGTTTGTTTTTATTTTTGTAACAGTGTCTCATTATGTAATTGAGACTGAGCTGGAACTCACTACGTAGCCCAGGCTGGTCTCAAACTCACAGTGATCCTCCGGCCTCAGCCTCCCGACTGCTGGGATTACAGGAGTGCACTACCATGCCCGGCCTACACATGGTTTTTTATATTTATTTGCTTTTCTTATTTTTTGCTAGATTCTATTTAAGATGTGGCTTTGTGTAATATCTCCATTAATGATAGAGTAACAGAACATTTATAGCTGCCATCTTACCAGGTCTTTCCTTACATTAACATCTCAGTTCTTCCACGTACTGATAATTATTTGACCCAAACATGTGAAAAATATAATTAATATGGAAATAGTCCATTCTTTATTAGATCAGACTTTTTAGGTGTAACTTTATCTCTCTGGCCCAATGCACAGTATAACTATTTACCTGCTTGAGGATGTTTTTTAACACCAACAATAGATTCTTGGATTCTCTGGATACTACCTGGGTGTCCAGCAATTCTTTCAGTTCAGTTCTGATACTGGCTGCCTGGAGTTAGCTTCACATCCCGCAAGTTGAACATCTCAGTCCACAAAATGTCCCTACCTCAGAGGCAGTCACAAATCCTAGGCCACTTGTATTGCCACATACATATAAGTGACTGAATATAAATTGAGGGTGCACACTGTCTCCTTTAGGTGCACTAATTTGTTACAATGACTCACAGAACTCAGGGTGGTCAGAACTTTACATTTAATGGCTTATTAAGATGCAACTCAGGGATAGCCAAATAAAAAGAGACTGAGTGAAATATGAGAGAGGTGGTGCATAGAGCTTCCTCATGCCTCTCTGAGCACACCGTCCTTTCAGCAAGTTGAGTTCACCAACTTGGAAGCTCCTGAATATTGTTAAGACTTTTTCTAAAGTGCAGTCTTCATCCTCTGTCTCATCCCCAGGGGTCCTGAGTAGAATTTAAAGCTTGTCCCTGTAAGCATTGATTTTTCTCTGACCAGCCCCATTCCTGGACCATATAGGGATTATCTTAAGTCACTTCATTGTGTAAACTCAGTTGTGATTCAAAGAAGTTAGTTATTACTAACAAAAGCCACTCTTGTCATTCAGGAAATTCTAAGGGTCTTAGGAGTTCTATGCCAGAAACATGAGACAAAAATCAAATGTATTTCTTATGCCACATCGTCCAACTTAGATCTTGTTTATTCCTGATTTTTTTTGCTCAAATACTCCTATATGGATAGTATTCTATTACTGTATAACATATTACCATAAATTTAGCAGCTTCAAAAGCGGGGGAGGGCTGGGGATTTAGCTCAGTGGCAGCTTAAGGTCTGAGTTCGATCCCTGGTACCTCCCCCAAATTAGCAGCTTAACACTCATTTATTATTATCTCACAGTTTCTGTATAAGTAATCCATAATGATGAGTTAGCTAGATAGTTCCTCTTCTGAGGAATTTAATTTTTAAAAAATTTTTTTTACATGCTGTGAATTTTTTTTACACATAGCTACATGCCTAACTTTGTTTTGCAGGAGTCTCACTAGGGCTCAGACCCTATCCTCCTGTTTCAGCCTCCCAAAATGTGAGATTACAGAGATGCAGCACCGTGCCCAGCTTGTTTATGATCTTAACGGCTGAAATTAAGATGTCAGCCAGACTGTGGTTTTCTTCTTGATGTCCTTTTCTCAAGATCATTCAGATTAGGGCCACGGATTTAGCTCAGTGGTTCCTCTGCCTGCCTTGCAAGTGTAAGGACCCAAGTGTGATCCCCAGTACCAAAAAAAAAAATCATTCAGATTGTTAGCAGAACTCAGTTCATTGTAGTTGTAAATCCCCATTAACTTGGTATTGCTACCTGTCAACTGGGAAGTGCATTCAGCTCCTGGAGTCCACACTCAGGTTCTTTCCATAAGGGATCTTCTGCCTTATCACAATGTAAGTGTGGGATTGTTTTCCTGTCATATTCATAAATCCCACTTAAAGGGAGAGTGGAATCTTGAGGGCTATTTGAAATCTACCTACCACAGAAGCCAAGAAGTAACCTTTTGTTTCTTGTGTGTGTGTGTTTTTTTTAAGCAAATAAAAGTAACCATGAATGATGATGACATGGATACATATGTATTTGCTGTTGGAACACGAAAGGCTTTGGTGCGACTGCAGAAGGAGATGCAAGATCTGGTATGTCAATTTGTTGCAACTCAAATATGTTAGAAACTGTCTCCTAATTACATAGATGTTCAGCTTCATGGCATAGGACAATCATATAAGGCAGTTGTACTATTTTGAAATGTGTCAAAATTATTCCTTCCTAATAAGATATTATATAATATGTTATTTTCAATTTCTTTTTCCTCTAGAGTGAATTTTGTAGTGACAAACCTAAGTCTGGAGCAAAATATGGGCTGCCAGACTCTTTGGCCATCCTATCAGAGATGGGAGAAGTCACAGAGGGAATGATGGATACAAAGGTAAATGCAATAGATGACATGCATTTGCCAGACCTGGCACTGAGGATACACTCTCCCTAAAAGTGAGACTACCATTTCTTCAATACACTAATTTATATTCCTTTTTTACACAAATATTAAAATACTTTATTTAAGCAGAAGATTAACTTGTCAAAAGGACAGTTTGATTAGTCAAGAAGTTGTCTAAATCAAGAGCAAATTGTTCCTGGAATTGCTAATGATTTTCAAGGTTTTTAAAAAAGAAGTATAGGGCTGGGGATATTTTGCTCAGTGACACTGGACCTGCTTCACAAGTGCCAGGTCCTGAGTTTGATACTCGGTACCACAAAAGAAAAAGAAAAGAAGTACAGCTTTAATCCTTTTACCATGTCAGTTGGTCTGTATCTTTGAGCCTCAAGTAGTGTGGGAGAAAGAGGGGCATATATTTTGGTTTTTTTTCCTGTGCTAGGAGTTGGGCATTACATATACCATCCAAGCGCTATACCACTGAACTACAACCCCAGTAGTCCTGAGAACCATTTTATTAGTTGTGCAATAATAACAACATACCTTAGTTAAAAATGTAGGCCAGCCGGGCGTGGTGGCTCTCACCTGTAATCCTAGCACTCTGGGGGCTGAGGCAGGAGGAGGATCGCTGTGAGTTCAAGACCAGCCTGGGCTACATAGTGAGTTCCAGGTCAGCCTCAACTACGTAGTGAGACCCTGGCTCAAAAAACAAAACAAAAACAAAAACAAAAAAATATAGGCCAACTCAGGAATACTTCAAAGTGACATGTTTATAAACAAGTCCCCCAAAGGTATATTAATAGATTTTTATTATCTTCATGCTTTTTTTTTTTTTTTTTTTTTTTTTTTTAATGAGACAGTCTCATTATGTAGTTGAGACTGACCTGGAACTCACTATGTAGCCCAGGCTGGTCTCAAACTCATAGCGATCCTCCTGTCTTGGCCTCCCAAGTGCTGGGATTACAGGCATGCGCCACCACACCTGGCTCATGCTTTCATTTTGAGACTTGCTTTCAGCTGTTCATTTTGATTGACTGATTGATTGATTGGTACCGGGGATCAAACTCGGGTCCTTGTGCTTGTGAACCAGGCAACGGAACCACTGAACTAAATCCCCAGTCCCCTTTCAGCTGTTTAATAAGAAGGATACTAGCTGGGCAAGGTTTCTGGATCTCAGCACCTGGGAAACTGAGGCAGAAGAATTACTGTGAGTTTGAGGTGAGCCTGGGCCATTCAGTGAATTCAAAGCCAGCTTGGTCTGCAAAGCAAGCACCTATCTCAAAAATCAAAGAGGAAAAAGCAAAATGGAGGATACAGTAATACAAACACTGGAGTTGTGAACTTTCACAGATATGAATGGACCTTGAATTACAAACATTTGTAGATTTGAAAGTTACCATTTTAAGGTAGCTATAAAAGTAGAAATAGGTTCTAAGAGAAAAGTTAGTTATTTTGTTAGTTTTAAGATGTACTTTCTTTTTTGTTTGTTTTTTGTTTTTGAGACAGGGTCTCACTATGTAGAGTGCTGGGATTACAGGTGTGCACCACCATGCCTGGCATTATGATGTACTTTAATTGCAGGATTAGACATTTATTCAAGGACTCTTTTAAAAATATAAATTGTAGCATGCTGTCTGGATTCTAGGCAAAGTCCCACCACTTAGCTGCCCTTATTTTTTTCTGGTATAGTACTTCCTTCATGTGTCCTGCTAGGAGTCTGTTAGTAGTTATTTGTACCTGGTATGATTCAGGATAAAATAGGGTCAGCCATATCTGTAGCATCACATTAGTTTCTTTGCATGAATCTGCTAAATAAGGTTTTCTTTGTTGTCCCCTTCCCCCTTTTTATTCTGTTCAGAATTTGTATACACATTCAGGTCGCATTTATTATATCTGATTCATATTTCCTATGAATGAAATAAAAATCTTCATTACAAAACAAAAAATGTAGAAATAGGGCTGTGGGTGTAGTTCAGTGGCACCAAGCACAAGGTCATGAGTTTGATCTCTGGTGTGGAGGGAGGGGAGTAGAAATTGTGTGTGTGTGTGTGTGTGTGTGTGTGTGTGTGTGTGTGTGTGTGTGTGTGTTTTATGCTTTACATTGTATATTTGTGTCAAAGGTATATAAGACTCACTTTGTTTGATTTAGGAACAATCTGACTTACCAATGTTCTCCCCCAGACATACTGAACTAGTTTCATTTTAGAGAGATTTCTTATCTTATTTACTTTGTAAAACATTTCTGTTTGAATGACATTATATGAAAGTAGGGAGGGTTGAAGGGTGAATAGCTTTGTGAGAAAAGTAAAATGTGTCAATTCTGAAGCACAAGGTCCAGAGTTTGATCCCTGGTACCAAAAAATAAAATAATAATAACTCTATTTTCTTTTTTTTTTTTTCAGATGGTTCACTTTCTTACACACTATGCTGACAAGATTGAATCTGTTCATTTTTCAGACCAGTTCTCTGGTCCAAAAATTATGCAAGAGTACGTATGAGATAAAAGTATTGCAATTCATTTCTCGCTAGTTCTATGTTGAATCACCACAAGGTGTTTCTGCAGTTTCCTCTACTGAATGAGTAGGGTAACTTGGTGACAACCTCCCCGAGGTTTCATTTGCTTTGACTCCATGCTTCATGAGAGTCCACTGAAAACATATGGAAGACAAATGAGCCTACCCTACCCTACTTTGCATAAGCCCCTGCGTGTTTGCATCATCCATTTAGTAAGGTAGATAAGTCTTACTGATACCTGATGCTAAGCATAGCTCATGCTAAGAAAATGTAATTGCTAATCCCTTTTTCCTTGTTTTTGTTAAATTTATGACATTATGATATTTGTGCTTGACAGAGCTGTGTATTTTATAATTTATAGCCTTTTCTGGTTTCCTTCTTTGAATAATTGGGTGATTGTATCCTTTTTCCAACATATCAGGGATCTTCAATACCTGTAAATTTTCTGGGCTTATAATAATATTGTTCAACACAATATGTACTGATTCTGACATCAGTTTTTAGTTACAAGTTACTATTATAGACAGTGGAGTTCACTACAATTAAAAGTATTTTGGCTGGGGATTTAGCTCAGTGGTTCTGGTGCCTGCCTAACAAGCACAAGGACCCAAGTTCAATCCCTGGTACAAAAAAAGCCATTCAGGGGCCTGGCTTTATGATATAGACCTGAAATCCCAGCATTCTGGGAGACAAAGGCAGAAAGATTGAAAGTTTGAACCCAGCCAGGACAACTCTGCAACACAGTGAGACCCTGTCTCAAAACAAAATTTTTGGGCTGGGGATTTAGCTCATTGGTGACGCCGCCTACTTCGTAAGTGCAAGGACCTAAGTTCCATCCCCGGTACCAAAAAAAGTAAAAATTTTTGAAAGAGCTGGGAATGTAACTCAGTGTAAAAACCCTGGGTTCAGTCATTTATGCCCCCCGCCAAAAAAAAGAAAAAGAAGGCACTTTGGAGCCAGGGATGGTAACACACACCTGTAATCCAAGCTGCTCAGAAAACAAGGATCACAATTTCTAAGCCAATCTGGGCAACTTAGTGAGACCCTACCTCAAAATGGAGTATAGGCATGTACCTCAGTTTGTAGAGCATCTCTGGATTCTTTCTCCGGTACTCAAGAAAAAAAAAAATTCTAGGGCATTGGTTCATTTCCCTTGCTCCAAAACAACAGCAAATCTATTTTGCTTTGTAGTTGTATGTCAAGATTATTCTTGTCTTTGTCCCTCTAGGAGGTGCTGTATTGTCCTTGCCTAGTTTAACAGTGCTGAATGCAAAGCATCATAGTATTATAGCATTATCAAACTATATGAGAGAGGGTGGTTGGCAGTCAAATTACAAAGAAATCTTCAGTGAGAGAACTTAATTATATACCATCATCCTTCTGAATTTTTGGAAGTTTTGTTCCCTGATAACCCTCTGATAACATCTGAAAATGCTTAAATAAAATGTCATATAAGTTGTATATAACCTGTATATAACCATCCTGATACTTTATAATACAGTGTTAATGTTATGTAAATTATTGTTATGCCGCTTAAGAAATGAGAAGAAAAACTTTCTGCATAAAATACTTTCATTACAGGGCCAGGGATTTAGCTCAGTGGTTCTGCTGCCTGCCTCAAGTGCAAGGACCCGAGTTCAATCCCTGGTACCAAAAAAAAAAAAAAAATTTTTTTTTTCATTGCAGATAGGAAAATTTCCTGTCTACAAATATGGCAGGTGCAAAACCCACAGATACAGAGGGCTGACTATATGTTATATAATAGATTATCCCTAAATTCATTCTGATCCTAACTTAACATTATGATTAAAAAAAAAAAAATTACAGTGCTTTTTGCCAACCGTGGTGGCTGGAATGTTGAGGCAGGAGGGTCACAAGTTTGAGCCCATCCTGGGCAATTTAGTGACTTAGGAAGCTGCTGTCTCAAAAAGGCTGGGGATATAGTTCAATGTGAAGGCTTGAGATTAAATCTTCAGTACCAAAAACAAAAACGTTCTTTCTAAGCCCATTTCTGGCTCTCTAGGTAAGGTGGACTATATGCTGCCTCTAGGGGACATTATTGAAGGTGTTCAAGTATAAGATATAGGTCACTTTGGAATCCATCTATTAGATGATGTTAATGCTTCTTCAGACTCTGAGATTGTACTTGTTGATATCTAGGCACATGCTATACTGATTATTTGCAAGTATCTGTCCATCTAAGTGAATTGGGTGACTTGCATGCATGGAAAATGTCATTCTTTGTTCTCCCTTAATAGACTTTTCTTTTATGATAGGGAAGGTCAGCCTTTAAAGCTACCTGACACTAAGCGGACATTATTGTTTACATTTAATGGTAAGTGTTCTGGGTCCTGTTTGAGTTCTTAGTTTTCTGTAAGATGATTTGAAGGATATTCCTTCCAAAGTGATAGCTGTAAAACTACATTAAAACTGTGGGTTGGGGATGTGGCTCAGTGGTAGAGTGCTTGCCTAGCATATTCAAGGCCTTGAAGTCAATTCCTAATACTGCAAAACAAAACAAAAACTTCTTATGCTTGCTTATTGATTTCTGGATTTCTTTAAGAAGGTGACTGTTGGCCCTGGTGTGATGGCACATGCCTGTAATCCCAGCACTCGAGAGGCTAAGGCAGGGGGATTGCCACAAGTTCAAGGCCAGCCTGAACTACATAGCAAGACCCTGTCTCAAAAACTGAGACCAGGGCCGGGGATTTACCTCAGCGGTTCCACCGCTTGCCTTGCAAGTGCACGAACCCAAGTTCAATCCAAGTTCGATCCCCGGTACAAAAAAAACTGAAGCCAAAAACTGTTACTTTTGGGCTGCGGCTATAACTCAGCAGTAGTAGCATGTGGGTTCTTTCCCCAATGCCATGCAAAAAATAAATAATAAAACCTTTTATATATTCTTTTATATATTTTAATTTCTATTTTTTGCTACATCTTAACTGCCCAAAAAACTTGGAAAAAGGAGTCTAATAACACAAAGGGGACAAAAAAAAAAGTTTGTTTACCCGGAGATATTAATGATCCCATTAACTCAGTAGGAAAATGACTTTGTTTTCCAGTGCCTGGCTCAGGTAACACTTATCCAAAGGATATGGAGGCTTTGCTACCCCTTATGAACATGGTGATTTATTCTATTGACAAAGCCAAAAAGTTCCGACTCAACAGAGAAGTAAGATCCAAAGTATTTATTACAAATTGGGACGTTTTATTATTCTTTTTCCAATGGTGGGGGGGCAATGATTCAATGATTGATTCTTTGCTAGTCGACTTGAAAGGCCAAATGGGGATAGTTTTATGAAAGAATGCTAAATGAGATTTTACTTTTATTGGATAGAAATGGATTTCTTATGAAAGACTTTATTTCTTGGGGAAAGGGCAAACAAAAAGCAGATAAGAACCGTGCACGAGTAGAAGAGAACTTCTTAAAGCTGACACATGTGCAGAGACAGGAAGCTGCACAGTCTCGTCGTGAGGAGAAAAAGAGAGCAGAGAAGGAGCGAATCATGAATGAAGAAGATCCAGAGAAACAACGCAGACTGGAGGTAAGGCAAATTGTTCTTATTGAAGTAAAACTAAGATTTTTATTGTCAGGATGGCTGTTTATCCCATATTGGCTAATAATGGTAATTCTGTGTATAAATTCACACAAACTAAAAAGTTTACTATTTTCTCAGCATTTAGGACATTTTGTCAGTTGAAATACTATAAAGAATAAGTGTTTTCCAGTTCAAACCATGTTAGATGAAGTTTGTGAACTGAAAATGACCTGAATTACACTTTTCTACCAGCATAATCCCATTTTAAGCCAAACATAGTGGTAGATAAGATTTGATTATAGAAGTAGAGAATTTTACATTTTTGTGTTTTGTTTTGTTTGTATATATAGATTGTTTTTGTGGGGATTGAACCCAGAGCCTTCACATTAATCTACATCCCTATCCCTTTTTTTTGTTGTTGTTTTTATTTGCAAGACAGTCTCACTCAGTTGAACCTTTTTTTTTTTTTCATTTTTGAACCTCACTCCTACATTTTTATTAGTATGTGTCTTCAGTACATAATGTTTACACTCCTTGTGTGGAGTTGATACATGTACATAACACATTTTAATTCCTTTTATTCCTCTCCCTCTCTCTCTCTCTCTCTCTCTCTCTGCTATTTTTCACTAAACAGATGTTTTTATGCCATTTGTGCTATCCTCGGATTTTTCATTAATTCCAGTTAACTTTAGATTCATCTTTATGTCATCTAGGAGCTGTTGGATTCACTTTTCATGTACTCTGGTTGTTTTTAAGGTATCTTACTAATTGGTTACCAGCAGCAGCCCTGTGTTTTAGATCTGACACCCTGTCCTCGCAACTTTTGCTGCCTATTCTTTCAGTAGAAGTTTTAATCTCCTGAATTTCTATTTGGAGCCTTTTTATGAACTCTGATTCTTTTCTATGCTGGTCATTCATGTTTTGTTTAGCTCTACTAGATTTTTATTAGTGCCATCTGTATACTTCCTGATGACTTTATTTGGCCCAGTATCTGTTTACTTATATCTTCTATGAGCTTGCCAAAATTTTGTTATCTTTCCTGAAATCACTTCATGTAGTTTGGGTGTATGGCTTTTGGTTTCTTCCCCTTCAATGCCCCAAGTATCAGTTTTGGGGAAGTTAAGAGTTTCTGGAGGCATATTTGTTTGTTTAGTACCAGGGATCGAACTCAGGACCTTGTGCTTGCCAAGCAGGTGCACCACAGAGCTAAATCCCTGGCCTTCTGGAGGCATTTTGTTGGCTTGTCTGCTGATATTTCTATTTATTTATTTTAGTGTGGAGGCTTGTGGGTTAATTGTAGTAGAAAGCTTTGTTTCTCATATGGATATTTCTTTAGTTTATGTCTAGTTTTCAGCAGTGTCCTCCGTTCATGGCTAACTTTTGGCCTTCGCCTACCTCTGAGATGCCAGCCACCTCCATTTACTTGCAGTGGCAGGCAACAGCATATTTGGTCCAGTACCCAATTCTCCAGGAATGGGCCACAGTATTTTTAATGGCTCTAAGGTAGACAGATACTGAAATCCCAAGAGAAGTAATAGCAACAGCTTTGTCACCTTAGCTGTAGTAATAAGGTCGGCCTCAATTACAGTGTCAGATGCAAACAGTATTGACAAGCCCAAAGGATCAATAATGTACTTCCCTTATCATGGTAAAGAGAAATAGCTTGGCATGCTGCATGTTCCTGTAATCCAGTACTTGGGATGCTGAGACAGGAGGATCTCCATGAGTTCAAGGCCAGTTTGCACTAGAGTGAGACCTTGTCTCAAAAAAGAAAGAAAGAAAAAGGGGGAAAAACCCCAAACCTCCATAAAACTCAAGGAAGGAAAGATAAAAGTAATAAAAAATAGGAAAATAAAAAAAAAGATTGAGGCCAAGGATATAGCTCGGTGGCACAGAGCCTGCCAGGCAAGGATGAGGTCCTGAATTCGATCCCCAGTGTAAGAAAAAAAGGAAAAAACAAAACAAAACAAAAGATTGAGTCAAAGGAGAAATTCCTGTGGTTTTTAATGAGTGGGTTTTTTTCTAAGATTAGCCAGTTAGGATTTTTTTCCATGTAGCAGTAGGGCGTATGGGTTTTGTTTGAAGTATTCTTCCTGCACCAGAGCCCCCTCTATATATGTTCACCCCATCCAACTCAAGCAGTGTCCTTGCTCCTGTTTGTAGATGGGAAATTCGGTCAGAGCTCTGGTCTCTGCTGAATGTAGACCTGGGGTCATGGGTTCAAATGGACTGTTGCACTTAATGTTGACAGTCACAGGTCTGGTTGCTCTTTTCTCTCCTTGGGTGTTGTCATCATCCATGATAAGGTTGGTTCGTTGGTTAGTCTTCACTTCTATTGCCACATGCCAAGGAGAAGCTAAATGTAGATCAGGCTTGGAGTTAGTAGTGTCACCTTTTTTTTTTTGGTACCGGGGATTGAACTCGGGCCCTTGCATTTGCGAGGCAGGCACCGGAACCACTGAGCGAAATCCCCAGCCCTTGCCTTTGCATTCTGGAGGTGTGCCACATGGCCAGTGCAGGCCTGCTTCTTCACAGTGGGGACAGGCACTGAGAGTCTGCTTGCTTCCATTGAGGAGTGGGGCCTGAACTTTCAGTCTTCCTGCCTCAGTTTCCAAAAATGCTGGTGCAGCAGGAAACTACACTTGATTTTAGCCAAGAAGCGATGCAGCAGGAGACTGAATGGGATTCCCAGACAGACCACTCGAACATGGAGTTAGGAGCAGAAGTGGCTTTTATTAGCCAGCAACTCAAGAAGGGACTTCTGTCCTTTTGAGAGCCCTGAATAGGGGCTGGGATTTAGCTTAGTGGCACTGTACCTGCCTAGCCAAGTGCAAGTTCCCTGGGAATGTAGCAAGCAGTATTTACGGTGTGGGGGCACATGTCAAAGAATTCTGGCAGGACAGTTGCATTCTACAAAGAGCATAGTAATTTAGTTAACCCATTGTTGCCCAATTCTATACAGAAGGATGATTTCCTCTCACTGGGATTGCAGGCATGCGCTATTACACCCAGCTGGTAGTTTTTTTTTTGTTTGTTTGTTTTTATAACTAGTATCTCAAACTTGAGCTTCTCAGGCTTTAGGTTTCAAAGATAATCAGGTTCTGATATATATATATATATGAAAGAAAATGCCATAGTCCAACTCTAAAATTGTAAATGCTGGCCAAAAAAGAAGAGCACAAAGTTCTTGAAGTTGTTAATTTAAATGAGAGTAATCTCAAGGAGAGAAAAAATATGTCAGAGTGAAGAAAACCTGCCAAGAAAATATATGTGTAAATTCTGTTGGCATGGCTGTTGCCAGTAGAATCATTAATGCTGTTGGGTGAAGTACCTGCAATACCGAAGTGCTGCCCTTTTCTTCTCTCATATGATAGGTTTGATTTGGTTTGTGTTAGTTGATTGGCAGTTTCCTCCTAAAAATTTAGCTTTGTTTATGCAGTCACCTTTGTAAATGAAAATGGCTTTTTATTATATAAATGTAAAGAAGCTACATAGGAGCTGGCACTGTGGGTGCATACTTGTCATCTTGCTGAGGCAGAAATATTGCAAGTTTGAGCCCAGCCTGGACAATGTAGTGATTTACTCTAGACTCTCAAAAAAGATTTAAAAATGCCTGAGGATATAGCATTGTGTGAAAGCTCTGGATCAATCCATCGATCAATTAGTCCATCTATCTCATTAATAAGTAACATGGGAAGTTCTCTTGTTTTTTCTAGGATTTGAAACTACAGTGAGTTAAAAAGTAGGATCTGGGGGCCAGGGATTTGGCTCAGTGGTTTCGCAGCCTGCATCGTAAGTGCAAGGACCCGAATTCAATCCCTGGTACCAAAAAAAAAAAAAAAAAAGTAGGATCTGGAACTTAATTTGTGTTATTAGATTGTAAGTTCTTTGTGGATGTAAACCATTTATTTTCTTGTAACACCTACCTCATATTACAATCTGGCTTGGGTACCTCCGAAAAGTACAGTGAACTAAATGAAAAAAGCTCTCCTCCCAAAGAAAGCTATAGTCAATTTCTGACTTGAATGCATCATTCATACAGATGAGGTGGACTCCCAGCCCTTGCTCTGATTGCTTTTTTTTTTTTTTCTTTTCTTTTCTCTTTGTACTGGGGATCAAACCTGGGACCTTGAGCTTGCAAGGCAGGTGGTAAAACCACTCAGCTAAATCCCCAGCCCTACTTTTAGTGCTTTTTGTTTGTTTTGTTTTCTTATATATTTAATTTGAAAAATGAGAGAACAATGTATAGAGAAGTTAAAATTACCTTTCACTTGTAAAAAATAATGTAACAGTTCTTCAAACAACCCTCTGTCTCTCTGTGTGCCTAGTGTATATATCTTTTCTTAATGTAAATCATGTTAAAAGATAGACTTTCCTACAACTTTTCTTTTGTTTTGTGTTTTGGAGACAGGGTCTCACTATGTAGTTGAGACTGACATGGAACTCACTATGTATCCCAGGCTGGCCTCAAACTCACAGTGATCCTCCTGCCTCAGCCTCCTAAGTGCTGGGATTACAGGCATGTGCCATCAGACTCAGCAAAAACATTTTAAATAGTTATCACCAATTAGGTACCAGTTACACTTTTAGAGCTCTGTTCACTTACATCTTTATGAAAAGCTATTATCAACATTTTTAAGGTTGTGATTTTGATAGTGGGTCTTCTCATGTGTTTTGTATTTTGTCAATTATTGAAGGTGAATATTTTTCATATGCATTGACCTTAGCAAAATACATCTCTTAAATATGTTAACATAAATATGTATTTCTGTTTGTGTGTGTGTGTGTGTGTGTGTGTGTGTGTGTGTGTGTGTGTGTGTGTGTGTGTTTGAGACAGAGTTTCACTATGCAGTTAAGGCTGGCCTTGAACTCACTTTGTAGACCAAACTAGCCTCAAATTTCCAGTGATCCTCTTGCCTCAGTCTCCCAAGTGTTGGTATATAGGCGTGTGCCACCACACCTGGCCACGTTTTTTTTGAAATAGTGTCTTATGAAATAGTTCAGGCTGGCCTTGAAGACCTGGGGCTGGCCTTGAACTCAGCCCTCCTGCCTCAGCCTCCCAATTGCTGGGATTACAGGCATGCATCATCTGACCCATTTAACATAAATATATTTGTTAACCATGATACTATATTTTGTGTATCATTAGTTTTATACATGGGTATATATAGTATAATATGGGAAATAGGGATGAATAGGCTGGGGGAGGAATGAATATGGTTGAGATAGAGGTGGGGATGATGAGAGTATCTTGGCCATTTTATATAACTTCCCTAGAATAGTACAGATTTTACTAACTTGCTTATAGGCTTTCTCTGGAGGCAACAGCATTGCCAAAGGAGGAAGGTTATTTCCTGCCTTTGGAATTCAGACTCAATGTGTTTTCCCATAAAAGTGGCATAACACTGATTGTTCAGTTCTTCATGCTGCTTACACAACAGGACAGCTATGAATGGATAAACATTAAGCAGTATGCACATAGCAGTATAGGTAGATAATCTTTGTTACTTAGTGTGGGAACCTAACAGTCAGTAGTTCCCAAACCAGGAATTTACAAATTACCCTTTAAAACATAATGAATAGGGCTGGGGATTTAGCTCAGTGGTTCCACTGCCTGCTTTGCAAGCGCAAGGTCCAGAATTCAATCCCCAGTACCAAAAAAAGAAAAAAAACCCATATCCCATAAAACGTAATGTATACTATCAAAAGCTATATATATTACATGCTTCTCCTTTTCCTCTTCTTGATCCTATACCAGTTGAGAAATATATTTGTCAGGTTATTTCTACCCAAATTTCCTTTAGAAAAAAGTGAAGTTTGAGATTTTTTTGAAAGATGTTTCAATTAAATGTGACCACAAATGACTAAAAATAAAGTCATAATTTGTCATGGCTAATGATAACCTGAAGCATCTACCTCTTCTATGTAACCTCCTAATTCATAAATAAAACTACAACAGAAATTCCCAGTTGAACTTTCTGTATTAAAATACTGTGTTCAGTATGTTTGTCTCTGCCAGGCGTGGTGGCGCATGCCTGTAATCCCAACACTCCGGAGGCTGAGGCAGGAGGATCACTGTGAGTTTGAGACCAGCCTGGGCTACATAGTGAGTTCCAGGTCAGTCTCAACTACACAGTGAGACCCTGTCTCAAAAAAAAATGTATGCTTGTCTCTACTAATATAGAGAGACTTACAGTGAATGGTGTGGTCAAACAGGATTCTGAAGATTTTCTGAACTTGAAATACAAAGACTCGTCATACTTATATAAATAGTATGATGCATGTTGGCTTTTTTTCTGGGTATACAAAAAAGTCAAACTAGAATTATAAAACATAGCTAAATGTAGTGGTTAGTTTATGTCTAAATTGAGCTCTTTGAAGCCTTTGCTTTATTTCAAGTTAATGTAATTTTCATTCACCAGCATAGGTACTAGCAATTATTTTATGGCTGTCTTTAAAATCTAATGGTGCTGTAAGCCTAACTTTTCAAATAATAACATAGGCAATATTCTGCTTTTGACTTTTTTTTTTTTTAATGTGTGCTTATGACTTAAGTTTAGATACTCTTTCTCTTTCCCTGTCCCCCAGGAAGCTGCTTTGCGGCGTGAGCAAAAGAAGCTGGAGAAGAAGCAGATGAAAATGAAACAAATCAAAGTGAAAGCCATGTAAAGAAATCCCAGAGATCTGAGTCCTAATGCCACCTGTAAGCTCTGAGTTTATGGAAAAACTAAAAACCCGAGTCCATCTCATCTTAAACTTCAAACACTCTTGGCAGTTGGGAAATCCTATTTCATCATCTATTCTGCTGTTGGTTTGAAGTTTTACCAAGGTTGTAGATACATTGAAAGGACTCTTATTTCTGTACTTTTGTTCTACATAAGCAAATTATTTTGACTATTTTGTAAAAGTGATATATAAAACATGTAGTTTTAAAATATTTAAAATTATAACATGAATCAGTGCTTTTAGTACTTCAGTGTTTGAAAAATATGAATTCATGGGTAATTAGGTAGTTGCTTTTTGTTTAAACTAGGCAGTTGGAACAGCTATGGAAATTGACACTTAAGCCAAGATTCCACAAATAATTATTGGAATTGCACAATAAACATTGCTTGGTGTTTTCTTCTGTGTCTACATTAAACTTGTACAAAAGCAAAATTTAGAACACTATGTGGTGATGAAATATCAGGGACTCGGTATGAGTTTTATAGATGGGAGGGGTGATGACAGTATTATAGGAAGTCTGTAGGTGGTAGGACACTGATGTGTACATGGAAAACTAGGTATAGGTAGTGGAGTACAGTTTCCTTCCTATCTGATGGTATGAGTTAATGACAATGTGAATGCTGTATGTTGAGTGGTTATATATTTATTTTTCTTGAGCAACAAATGCATGGAAAATTAACTGCTTCAGCCAGATCAGCAATAGGATCATTGTGTGTGAGGTCCCATTTTTCTTCTTGGTCACTGCAACCTATTGGATGTTCATGGAGAAGCTGTATTCTCTTTATTATGGCTGTACCTTTGCTTCTCCCTGTACATTGCTCTCTTTCACTGTTGAGGTTGGTTATGGTCTTTCAATGAAATAACCATAAATATGCATAAGTATACTTTTTAAAATGAGCTTTCCTAAACTATTGAGAGCTCTTTTCTGCCCCTTGAGGAAGAAACTCTTGGGGGAGAGGCCCATCTATCTGCACAAGCATTTGTCTTGTTCAGATCTCTGCATTTTATAAATGCTTCTTACTAGGAAAGCATTTTTTAAATTACTGCTTGTACCAGGTAATTTTTGCTGGGGATTGGAAAGCATTGGGCTTTTTAGTGGGTATGGTGGGTGGTGGGGTTTTGTTGATGCTTTATGTGAAAGTGTTCTGAAGCAATAACAATGAGTTGCTGTGACAACAACATGTGCTGCTGTCTCTGTAGCTGCATGGAAACTTTCCACATGGATTTTTCTCTAGGTTAAAACAAATATGTAAACTGGGATATGTAAATGTAATAATTTTTAACAGTTCATGAATTTAAGTTATAGTGATAAAAATAACAAAATTTGATTAAAGCAATATAAATCTAGAATTAGGGGTGTTTTACAGACCTTTAAAATACATTTTAGAAATCAGAGTTGATATACTTAGCTATCTTTTGAGTAATATAAGTTTTCTTAAAAGTCCCACACATTTGAACCATGGCAGCTAATTTTGTAATTTAAGCATTCATATGAACTACCTATGGATATATATTAAACTGATTGACAAAATCTCAGAGTGCCGCCTTGACTTTTCTGGAGTTGCCCTATAAGTATACTTCTGTAGGAAGGTTTTGATCATTAATAGTCAGCACTGAAATTCTCTTCCTTAAAAGAATTTATTTTGAATAGTCCCTTTGTTGTTACAATCACAACTTTAGAGAGTTTTATATTTTTAGTACATGTCATATTCTGTTACATGTTATTAATGGGCTCCTTCCTATTGATCCTGTGCTAGTCAGTTTTCTTTTACTGTGGCAAAATACCTGAGATAATTAACTTAAAGGAGGAAATATTTATTTTGGCTCAAAGTTTCAGTAATGTGTGTGTGTTTTCTTCCCAATTTTATTCTGAGTATATCAGTTTATGTGGCTAGGATCATAGGTGTTTTTCTTTTGTGACTTCCTTGTTCCATTTCACAAATGTTTTTGCGTAGCACTCATAGTTCTGCCTAAGTGTTACTCTTCATGGCTTCCTCGTGTCCTTGAATTAACTGACCTATTGTTTAAAGGATCCACTTGCTCTGGAACACGTTCTGCATTTCCTTCCTCTTTTGTGACTCTAGATAATGCAATGAATTCAACTCTTGCTCCACATTTTGTATCTCTTTTGGTTTTCAGTCCTCTCTTCCTTAAATTAGAATTTCTAAGTGAAAGGCAGTGAAGGGTGGCCTCTCTTCACAAGAACAAATCTTCTGCATAGAGACAAAAGGAATTCCCAGCTCCAGGCCTTGAGCGTGCTGGTCTCGCCCACATTTTCCACAACACTGAGGTCTCTTTTCTTTTCTTGTTTTGGTTTTAGGTCCTTGCTATTTTGACTTGTGGTTTTTGAGGGTTTACTACTTCTCTGAAGAAAGATAGTCAGATAGGCATTTAGAGGTCGCTGATGTCCTTGTTTCTGAGTTTCCTGCCTGGAGCTGTGATCATACTGCTGCTGGTGCATTAGGAATGCCTTCTCATGGTGTTTTTCACCCACTTAGTGTACTGACTTGGGTGTAGACACCTGGGTTGTTGGTTTTGCCACAAGGGAATGTTCCCCAGCACACGCCGCCTTGCACAGTACCTCTGCACATCATCGGTCCCTGAGTCACCGTTGCAGGTGTTGGTCTGAAGAGTCCTTGATGCCGGCACACAGCATGGATTGTCCCAGCAGGTCCTTGTACACCTTGCACTCAATGAGGGCAATGAAGTTCACATTTGTGCACATGAGCTGGGCTGGGAAGGTCACTTGAGGGCTGGTTGTAGTGCCCCAGCCAGAGGTGGAACACAAGGTTGCAGCGGGTTTGCAGTGGGTGGGCAGGTTGGCGCCCTTCACACTAGATGACATCCTGGCTGGGTTATCGAGCCGCAACAGCGTGATGTCATTCTCGTGGGTCTGTGTGGAGTACTTTGGGTGGCAGAATGCTTCTGTCACTGAGCTTGTGACTACCCACCTGCAGTGTACTGGCCCATCTTGCAGTGGGCGGCTATGAGCACCCAGCGCTTGTCAACCAGGACGCTGTCGCAGTGCAGCTGGCTGCCTTTGAGCAGGGCTACCTTCCAAGGGTGGGGGCCTTTTTCACACTCGTAGCCATCAATAATCCCATTCCTGTCACCCTCACAGTCTCCTTGGTGAGGCTGATGGTCGGTGTGGACCTCAGAGTCTACATGAACCCATTTGGCAGTCACCAGGGCTGAGCCCAGCAGCCAAACCAGCAGGGGCAGGAAATGGGATCCTGTCATGGTGCTTTACAGTCTCTCAGAGGCAACCAGACAAGGACCAGCCACTTCTACTCAAATTGAAGTCCATGCAGGGGGGTTTGGTTGTAAGAGGGATGAGACATCTGTTGTCTGCTCCTCATATCCATCCTGAAGTATCCATCGAGGGTCCACTATGGCCCAGGATCCATTCTGGATGCAGCCTGAGATTCCTGCAGTTGTAGATCTGAATCCCTTGTGGAGAATGGCCTTCTAACAACCCTAGGCAGCCATGTTTCCTCAGTTTTATTCATGGTTTCTTGGCCCCATTGCTTTGGACCTGTGGCAAGGCGAACATCACTATGGGGAGCACGTGATGGAGCAAAACTGTTGACTACATGATGGCCAAGAAGCAAAAAGAAAGTGAGGAAGGGCTGGGGTGCCAATATCCCCTTCAAGGGCATGCCCCCAGTGACCTGACTCCTTCCACTAAACCTACACCCCTCCCAGCAGCATCACAGGCTAGTACCCAAACCATCAGCACCTTCATAGTCTTTTGGGGATATTTACAATCCAGTCTGGTCCTCCCCTTTATTTTAGGTGCCACTGTTTTTCCAGTGAGTGGAAAAGACAGGAAACTGTTCACTGTCATATGGTGGAAGTCACTACTAAGCCCTGCAATCTCATTGCTTTTTTGTTTGTTTGTTTGTTTGTTTTTTTGAGACAGGGTCTCACTATGTAGTTGAGACTGACCTGGAACTCACTGTGTAGCCCAGGCTGGTCTCGAACTCACAGCGATCCTCCTGCCTTAGCCTCCCAAGTGCTGGGATTACAAGTGTGCACCACCACGCCCAGCTAAGTCCTGCAATCTCATCTTCATTGCCTGAGCACTCTTCATCACCAAAGTAAGCACTGGATCATAATACAAAGACCTGGCTTTCAGTTTGGATAAAACCAACTGATAGTTTTTACTTTGGGCAAGTCATTAACTTTTTTGAGACATTGTATTCATCCTTCTACAAAGTAAGAGTAGTAATTGTTTTCCTTATATACTTACAGGTAGTTCAGAACTAACAGGTAATATGTGTAAAATTATTTGTAAACTTTAAAGCACTCTTATCTACAAAGGTAAGGTATCATTTAAGACTATTCTCCAAGCAGTATATTGTTTTACTCTTTTCTTTCTACCAATGGAAACCAAGCAGATCCTTTCAGAATTCGTGTGTGTGTGTGTGTGTGTCTGTGTGTGTCTGTGTCTGTGTCTGTGTGTCTGTCTGTCAATCCCTGGCCCTGTTTTTTTCAGACAAGGTCTTGCTGTGTACAGGCTGGCCTCAAACTTGTGGCATTCCTCCTACCTCAGTCTCCTGAGTGCTGGGATTATAGGCATGTCTCTTTTCCTCTAAACTCCCTCCCTCTGTACTGGGGCATGAACCCAGAGACTTGGCACTGAGTTTCATCTCCGGTCCTTCTTTTAAATTTTGAGACAGAATCTAACTAAATTGTTAAGGCTTGGCTATAACTTGTGATCCTCCTGCCTCAGCCTCCCCGGAGTGCCCAGAATACAGGCGTGTGCCATCATGCCTGGCTCAGAATTCCCTAACTTTATCTGCAAAAACTGTCAGAGTATTGTTTGAGGAAGAGGGGAATCCTTCATGGTTATTTCCTTAGCAATAGAAAATCTGACCCCTTCAAGCACCAGATGTGAAACTCCTTTTGACAAAATTTAGACTAGAGAAAAACAGATTGATATTCTCATACCTTCCATACAGTAGAAACTGAGCCGTGTACAAGGATTAATTGGATCTGGTGAGGAGGGGTGAGGTACTGCATTCTTTCTGATTCTTTTTCTTCACTGTTCCTGCCTCCACTCGTTTGATACAAATGTACATACAAGGGAGAAAAATTACACGAAAAAGTAAAAAGTATTTTCTCAATTTCTCGTGTTTAGTGATCAGCAAAAAGATTTAATTAGACTGTTTAGTGTTGTTACCTTTGTACAAGCTAAATGCTATATTCTCATCTACCTAAAGTAAGAAGTAGTATTGCTTTCAGAAGAAAGCTAGTATTTTTTCCAGTGGGAGACACTTGTTTCTATGCTACTGTACCACTTTATTTCTTATTTTATTTCCTGAGAAGGTCTCCCTATGTTATCTAGGCTGGTCTCAAATTTGTGGCTCAGGGGATCCTCTCACCTCAGACTTCCCAATAACTAGGATTAGAG